ATATATATATATGTATATGTAGATTTAGATCTATACACAATGTCTATTTGTAAGAACTAAGAAATATGTATGTCCATATATATATATATATATATATATATATATATGTGTGTGTGTGTGTATAGTCCTAATGTTTACACAAATGAGTGCAGAAAATGTAGGAATGTATGCATATAGTCTTACATACATGTATGTGTATTTTCTAAAAACAACAAATATCACACACACACACATATATATATATATATATATATTCAAGAGAGCTTGTTGGAACAGCAAATAATATTTCCCTTATATATATATATATATATATATATATATATATATATATATATATATATATGGTGTATGTTTTGTCATACAGTTCAACTGTGCATACAACTGTTTTGGTGTTAGTGATTTTTCAACGCAAGTCTCATTTCCTTATTCTTTGTTTTTGGGCCAAGTTGTTTTTTCGTTCTTTCCGAATTTTATTTTTTTCCATTTCTCTTCCTTCATTTCTGTTCACCTTCCTCCGGATCAGAATTCCTGGTGCGTCCCGTCGGCACAAAATGGCTGCCGAAATCTGCTTCCTTGTCAACCAGAGGCAAAGGAAACAGCGGGAAAAAGACCGACAATATAAAACTGAAAAAAAAAATTATATGAAGACCAATGTGAGGGATTGAAAGGAAAAAAGAAAATATTTCTTTTTCACCATTTTGTTGCTATTTTCCTTTTAACAAAAGAGCACTAGAGTGTGTTTTTTTGTACGTTTATGCTCCTGCTATAGGCACTATAGTTGGATAAGGTGTAGTTTATAATGCTACGCGTTCATTCACACACGTATGATTTTAGGTTTGATACAGCGCTTATCACAGATGTGTGTAATTTCTTTACGTACTTTTAAAAGCTTTGTACGTCATATTTTTCTTTTTTACTTTTTTTATTTGCATTTACATTATAATTGTTTCCAAGCTTGGATAATATTAGATACATCTGATTATGTGACCAAGCGTGTATAAGTGTATTGATATACATTCATATAAATAATAATAAATAATTTAATGTCTGCTCGTTGATCAAATACTGGATGCGAGACGAACCAACAGCATTTCAGCATCCACCCTAGTTGCATATAAAGAGCGCGGCAGTTAATTTTGAACAAATTACAAAACCTTTTTAATTCTTTCACCACAACCATGGTTGTAAAGCTACAAGTCTACTATGACGTAAGGGTTTACTGAAGTGAAAGACAACAGATTGAAGGAAACTGAGAAAACGTTACTGAGGAGAAAGGACAATAAAAGAACGGAATTTAGGAAGACAGGAGATGACGATTGACATTGCATTTAACTTTTTAAAGACTAATTCAGAGGAAAACAAGAAGCGGAAAGTGAGCTCCACAAGAAACTATTAGAATAGAACTTGAGGTTAAATTTAACAATTTCAACAGTAACATGATGAGACCTAGCTACCAATCTAGTACTAGACTTGAATTCATGAAGTCGTAGTAGCTAACAGAGAAAGCTCATCCGAACAACCCCCATGGAAATATTTTGTAGAAAAGACACCGAGAAAATATATTACGGTGGTGGGAAATTGACTGAAGCCGAGATGCCATGTCGGGGCTGATAATATTGCAGATTTTCCTTTGGATATTTTCCAGGAGATATATAGGAGAAGCAATTCGCCAGATATTGCAATAATATTCAATGCAAAGTCAAATGTTAGTCTTATAAATTTGAAAAACAGATTACGGTGAGAAAAATTATCTCTCTCCTTACAGATGAAGGAGAAACGTGAGACAACAGTAATGCGGTTCTGTATAAGGATGCTGAGAATACCATGGGTAAACAACAAAGACATTTTAGGTAAAATGAAACAAAAAGGACACTTACACATAGAATCAGAACAGACATTTGAAATTTCTAGTGCACATAATAAGGAAAGAGGGCTTGGAGAGTTTGGCACTCATAGGAGATTTTGAAGGCAAGAGGGACAGAGGTAAACAGCATATAAGCTACCTAACAAGCTTGTGTAAATAGTTGTTAGAAAAGGAATTATGAGAAAATTTTGATATATTCCGTGCTAATAGAAATATATATTTGAACAACACGGTCGATAAAGAAGTAAAGGTTTATTGTAAAAACCAGTACAATAAGAAATAAGGTAACAGTTATGCGCACGGTCGTCGCAAGTCAATCCAGTAGTGAGTGATACGATTGGAAGGTCGGTAGTTCTCGCGTAAGTCTGAGTCGTATTCAACAGATCCCAGCTAGTATATTTACAAACCGGCCCACGCGATCAGATGTGGCATAGAGCCGAATATAATGTGGTGTATCCGAGACCGTAGGTACAGCCTAAAATTCCCCGTGAACCACGCATAAACGGGTTCGGGTCTGTCTACCTCCCCGGACAAGACTCTGCCCTTTGGCATAGCCTCGTCCGGGTTCCTCTCAGCACGAAGGCAGAGAGTTCGACAACAGGAAATAGCTGAGCAACAGATCCCAGCTAGTATATTTACTAACCTCCCCACGCGATCAGATGTGGCACAGGGCCGAGTTTAATGTGGGGTGTCCGAGCCTGTAGGCTCAGCCAAAAATTCTCGTAGAACCCGTGTAAAACGGGGTCGGGTAGCTGTTTCCCGAGATGAGACTCTGTCCTTTGGCATCGCCTCGTATGGAGATGCCCTCTGCTTGGGGGCAGATAGTTTGACTAGCTAGTATATTTATTAACCTCTCCACGCGATCAGATATGGCACAATGCTGAATTTAATGTGGGGCATCCGAGCCCGTAGGCTCGACCAAAAATTCCCGTAGACCCTGTATAAAACGGGGTCGGTTAGCTGTTTCCTGAGACGAGACTCTGGCATAGCTTCGTCTGGCGATCCTCTCTGGTCGGAGGAAAAGAACCCAGCTAGTAATATTTACCAACCTCCCCACTGAGTAGGATATGACACAAGGCTGAATTTAATGTAGGGTAATCCGAGCCCGTAGGCTCAGCGAAAAATTCCCCGTAGACCCCGTATAAAACGGGGTCAGGTAGCTGTTTCCCGAGACGAGACTCTGCCCTTCGGTACAGCCTCGTCTAGGGATCCTCTCCGCTCGGGGGAAAAGATTCCAGCCAGAGTATTTAGTAACTGCCCCACGCAGTCACATGTGGCACCATGCCGAATAGAACGTGGTGTTCACGAGCCCGTAGGCTCGGCCAAAAAATCCCCGTAGAACCCGCATAAACGGGATCGTAGAGCCTCGTCCGGGTTCCTCTCTGCTCAGAGACCGTCTAGCTGGAACAGATCGCAGCTAGTATATTTAGGTAGCACCCCTCCCCCGCAAGGCCGGTTTAACGTGGGTTCTCCGAGCCCGTAGGCTCGGCCAAAAACAAAAATATTCCCTTTTTGAACCCGCATAAACGGGTTCCGGGGCAGTCTACCTCCCCGAACGAGATTTTGTCCTTCGGCGGAGCCTCGTCCGGGTTCCTCTCTGCCCGAAGACAGAAAGTTCGATTGTTTAGCTGGAACAGGTCGCAGCTATACTCTACCTATAGTGTAGTCCCTCATGGGGGTGACAGGTTATTCCATTACATCAGATTTTTATTTTCGTTCACCCTGTACAAGTCCAAAGAGCAACTCAGGGTAGAAGATTAAAGACTAAGAGGCACAGTTTATGCGGATATGTGGAAAAGATAACGGTTAACCCTAGAATTGAAGAGGTTAAGATTGTAGTGTTCGGGGAAGTATCCTCTTGGGAGTCGGTTCTACAAAGTAGCGATTCGTGGGAAGAAACTACAGCAATGGAACTTACATCTCACCAATGGAATAAAAAGGGAATGAAGCTGGTTAGCTTCAATGTACTTAGTATGGCGGGACTTAGTCATGAAGGTCAGTGCTGGTGGAACTAACATGGAAATAACAATAGAGCAGCGAACGGCTTGTGTCATTTCGTCTTTGAGAAAGGTTTTTTTTTACTAGTGTTGAACCAATACAGGGCCCAAGAGCCACACAAGGTGGAGGGTTACTCTGTGGATTATATTAGTTTAAGAAAGGGTAAGATAACAGGAAGGATGGACAGACAACTAATTCTAGACTTGAAGAGGTCAAGATTTAATTAGTGAATAAAATATCAGAGTTCACGCGGAGACTTTAAGAGTATAGAATTGAAGTAGACTTTGGAAGGGGCCGGAAACCTAATCCTAAGAAGAAAACGAGGGATGATCTTCTACTCTAGTTCAAAACTGTATAGTAAGTTGTGGAGAGCCATGATCGTCCAAGTTTTGAAGAGACATGGCACAGAGAACAAGAGCCAACGTTCAAAAATGCTTCTTTTTTTTTTTTTTTTTTTTACCTGCGTTTGAACCCTGACCTTTAGTATTATTAGGAAATAGTGCAACTATTTCAGCCACGACTTAATCCACATCGAAAGAATTTCTTGTTTGAATTAAACATGCCAAATATTTTCGTAATGTTCAGTTCCATTTAGTCTTTAACTCATCAGCAAACCAAACGAAACCCAAGCGAAATTACTATTGAAACCATTTCAACAGACGCGGCCAGAACAGGCAATATTCCTCAGTACATTAAACATTAGATTCGAGTTTTTCCTTTTATTTCGTTCTCTTTTGTGTTCAATTTCCTTTGCATTTGTTTGGTGAAGAGGTTTCTTTTGTTTTCTCTTGCCCTGTCAAATAGTAGCAAAGATTTATTTCACCGGGGACGACGGGGAAATGGACACGATATGGAATGTTCCAGAGGCACCCGGGAACAACGGCGGTAAACAATTCGATACCAAAAAGGGAAGAGTCGAAAATACAAAGAAATCCGGGGCAATGTTATTTGACCGGTTGTTGGCTATCGAAGAAGAAACTTAGAAACTGGAGTCGTACTTTCTTGTTAGCCAAAGATTTGTCTTCGATGTCCGGATGTTTGTTCAGTGGTCAAGGCATTGACCAAAATTCATACCGAAAAATTATAAAACTTGAGCTAGCGGTTAAAAATACAAGACTGGAAAAGAGTCACTACATGATCACGAGAGAAAGAGAGGGAAAGTGCGTAAGAGAGAGAAGGGGATGGAGAGACAAAAGAGGAGGAAGTGAAAACGAGAGAGAGAGAGAGACAGTGTGTGTGTAGGGAGAGAAAAAAAGTTAGAGTTGGAGAAAAATGTGTGAAGGACATGTGCAGAATGCAAAGATAAGAATAAAGTATGAAAGAGAAAGAAAGAGAATTTATTAGGGAGTGTGGAGAGAAGAAGAAGAAGAAGAAGAAGAAGAAGAAGAACAACAACAACAACAAGAGCAAGAAGAAGAAACTTGAGAAGGAAAGTGTGAAGGTCATGTACAAATTGCAGAGTAGATAAGAATAAAATAGGAAAGAAAAAGAGAGGGAACTTATTTGGGAGTCTGGAGAGAAGAAGAAGAAGAAGAAGAAGAAGAAGAAGAAGAAGAAGAAGAAGGAAGAGAAAGAAGAAAAAGAAGAGGAAGAAGAAGAAGGGAGAAGAAGAAGAGGAAGAAGAAGAAGAGGAAGAAGAAGAAGATGGAAGAGAAAGAAGAAGAAGGAAGAGAAAGAAGAAGAAGGAAGAGAAAGAAGGAAAAGAAAGAAGAAGAAGAAGGAAGAAGAACAAGGATGATGAGAAGGATGATGATGAGGAGGAGGGGGAGGATGAGAACGACGAGAAATTGGAGAAAGAAAGCGTGAACGATATGTACAAATTGCAAAGAAGATAAGAATAATGTTGGAGAGAGAGAGAGAGAGAGAGAGAGAGAGAAAGAGAAAAAGAGAGAGATAGAATAAGAAGGGACAAAAGAAAAAAAAGACTTGGAAAGCGAGCGGAACGAGAAAAGGCGGTTGACTCGGCGTTGGTGAGAGATGGTTGAGAATGAAAATTAAATGTAATCCACTGGACAAAATAAAGTATCCCGTCCACAACTTCCTGAAAACTGCCGGATGCTACATACTGTTGAGGAACACCACAGAGTACACAAGACGAAACAGTACCATAAACGTGATAACACACACACACGAACACGCACACACACACAAGCACATGTACACACACAGCGCATTCACAAACTCATAGACACACATACACTTATACATAAATGTACAGAATCATATTGTTTGATGCTTGCTATATTTATGTGAGACGAGTGATCAATATCGAGGATAGACCGTTTGTTGGTATAAACAGTGTGGACATAGGAAGCAACACTGCATGAAGCGATCATCAGACCGTCAGAGAAACGGGCAGTGTTGATTTCTATGTCCACACTGTTTATCAATCTATTTTATTTTTATTTTACTATATATTTTAATATCAATTAATAAAAGACCCAGGTACCACTTGATAAATAAAGATGCTGTCATGAAATCAGAGCAATAGAACTTCATGAGTCGGAAACACCGTGTCTCTGCAGGCGGTCTAGACACCGAGACAAGCTCTCTCGCTGGAGAGGACGAGAGGGCTCATTGGGAGAAAGACACTTCACAAAAACTGCCCGGATATGGCATATATATATATATATATATATATATATATGAAGAAAAATATACGGAAAAACAAACAAAAATCCTAATTTGCAATTATGCTGTTTTAATGTTAATATAATATCAACGTCGGACGTTTCGGTCTAATAGAACATCTTCAGGACATATTCCTAAAACATAATTAACATTAGACTATATTCATATTAAAACGGAACGCTGATCTTATAAAAAAATTCAGTTATCTGATTGGATTAGTCTTCCTCTTGTGTCCATCGACGTTTTCATGTTGAATTGAATTTTGTTTGTTTTTCCGTATATTTTTCTTCATACTGTCGGATCTATATCCATATATTTGCTTACATATATTGCTTATATATATATATATATATATATATATATATATATATATATATATAGATATTTAGTGAGTTAGACAAACCTACCTAGGTTTCACCTAAACGGATCGTCAGGAAAGCCAAACTTTCCCTGACGATCCGTTTAGGTGAAACCTAGGTAGGTTTGTCTGGCTCACTAGGTGTATCTAGGTCTGCTCTACGGTTGAATTGAGCTCTTTGTTAGTTAGTTGTTACTCGTATCGGGGTTTTTTCTTTGGGCTTCAGACCTGCATCTGTGCGATTTTTGTCGGCAGAAGTTCATGTTTGTAGCTCTTTTTTTTAAAACCTTTTTTCCCTCGAGATTGATTTGATTAGCAAATCAAAAATTCGAGGGTTTTTTCGAAACGAGTCTAGTTATCTATATATATATATATATATATATATATATATATATATATATATATATGTATTTTACAAAAAATTTTAAGCCGTTCTGTATGCGGCTATCATCAGCCCCCTAGTGTTTGTCCCGGAGCATTGTTTTAAATTTATTTTCAATTTCAGTCCTCCTCTGGTAGACGCCTTGTTAATGAGAATAGGTTTGTGATAGCGATTGGAGCGTAAGGTATCTTTTCCTGTGGGAGCGGTCTGGGGTTGGAGTTTAGTTATGGCCAGGAACTTTCGTTGTTTGTATTTTGATATCAGTTCCGACTATGTGACGTTAGGTTATACGATCCCCATGTGTATTTTTTCTGGGATTCACAATAAACAGTTCTTGTACTACAGGTGCCCAATATTATTAATAAGTGATGGGCGATTTAAAATTAAACATGTTAAGATTAATGTAAATTAGTCGAATTATACATTTATAGATTGTGGGTAATACCCGAGCACCCAATGGAATAAATCATGCTGTCCAACACACTTAGATGCGTACATATCTTCATACATACATATATGTAAATTTACATGTCCATACATATATGCCACTATACGTACACATACATCCCACATATATGCATATTTATCATTATGTAATTTGGAATTTATTTCTATGTCTGCATTTCGTCATTAGTTCTCTCCGTTGATTTAATAGTTTGCATTGATCTTTGTATTTTATTATCCTGATTTTTCTTCTAAATGTAGCTTGGACCTATTCCTAAAACTACCGGAAGTCTTCGCGAAACCTAGAATTTTCCAATTTAAATTGTGGATTCAAAACCTTTTCCTTCAATTACCAAAATTTTTTCGAAAGGGCTATTTGGTGTTTTAATTTTGGATTGATGAATGAATGTCTATGTGTATTGATTCTCTTCTTAAATTCTCCTGCAGAAATGCCGATGTAGATATTATGGTTTGTCGTATTTTCTTTAGGGGTAATGGTTGCTTGGTATACTACTCTAGTGGATCTGCACTTGTCATCTACTGGGCAGTTTTCCTTAATTCTACAATTACAGGGGATTTCCATGTTAGATTTAGTTTTTTTACTCATGGAATTTACTTAAAATGTAATTGTTATGGGAATTAATAATTTGGTACATATTATCAGTGCAGGAGTAGTTAATTTTGACTGATTTCCTGTTGAATATCTTATTTAGAGGGTTTTTTTTTTCTGGTTGAAGTGTTTAGAAATTAAATTTAGGAAGTACTGTCCGATGTTGATATTTGACAGTTTGAAGAAAGTGTGTGGGGGGGGGGGTTGAACCAAGTGATTTTTCTTTTCCTATTTTTTCACCTACATTTCACTTTTCATGTATCAGTATTATTAATGGTCGTTGTATAAGACAATTTACTTTTGAAACCACTTTTTTGGAGGGCCTTTTCATAAAGTTCTTTATTCTATTTATGCGATGATGAAATAAGAAAGAGTAGAACTTATAATGATGGTTAAAAAGTTAAGAATGACGAAGCAAGAAATAAACAATGATTAGGAGTGATAAAGGAATGCTGAAGACGAATAATGTGTAGGGGAGAAGCCCATGAGAATGCAGAGGAGAACATGAAAAAACATGTGAAAAGAAACAGTAGTAGGCGTTTGTAAAAGAAAAGTGATAACATATGACAAAGGGCGATGTCGATAAAGCAGTTGACCTCTTTGACTCCGGGTGGGTAATGAGGTTCATCGGGAAAAAGAATCTTTTGCAGTAAGGTAATATTTGCGAAAACAACACTTGACGTTGATCACTGGATGGCATTTTCTGCTTTAGTCAGGGTGACTGGATCGAAACGAAGGCCAGGTGGGAAAGAGAATGAGACAGAAGACGTGACCTGCGCTGAGGACTACAGCGTCAGAAACAACAGCTGCTTTTTCGTTTTGTTTGATTGTTGGAATTTCAATGACCGATGATCGATAAGTAACTAAGAAGAGGTCAGTAGTCGATCGTCATGTCGGAGAGCTGAAAGACTGGGTGACGGAAAAGTCGGAAGTTTGTTCGGGTGGGGCTGGTCGAAGAGAGAGAGAGAGAGAGAGAGAGAGAGAGAGAGTTTTCCTTTGTCACGTGGGAAAAGGAAAAAAAGTGGCGGGGAGTGGGGTATGAGTAGCATGACGGTGCTTGGAAATGAAACTAACCCAGTGGCCGCCAAATTAAGGAATGCCGGCATGATGAAGAAATAGAGAGAAAAAAAAGATCGAATGAAAAAGAAAAAGAAGGAAAGAAGGAGAAATAGAAAGATGATGATGATGATGATGATGATGATGATGATGATGATGAAGAAGAAGAAGAATTAGCAAGAAGAAGAAGTACAAACAAAAAATATGAAGAACGAAAGAAGAGGAAGAAAGGGAGTTATAAAAAAAAAGGAAAGAAGAAGTAGAAAGAATGATGATTAGAACGGAAGAAGAATTAGAAAGACGAGGAAGAATGTGAATTAGAAAGAATGAAAGAAGTTATTGGAAAAAAGAAAATGCGGGGGAAAAAAAAACTAGAAAGAAAACTTTCGAAAGAAGATAAAAAAGAAGAAGAAAAAGAAGAAAGAACGAAAGAAAGAAAGAAGAACTATAGGGATTAGAAAGAAGAATTATTAGAAAAAAGAAAGATGAAGAAAGAAGAAAAATAAGAAGACAAAGAAGAAGAAGAAGAAATAAGGAGGAGAAAGAGCAAAGGCTGTAGAAGGACTAGGAGAAGAAATTATTAGAAAGAACGAAAGAAAAGGAACTAAAAAGAAGAAAAAGAAGTTATGAAAGAAAACATAGAAATTACAGGTTCTAGAAGAAATAATGAAAGAAAAAGAAGAAGAAGAAAAAGAACGAAAGAAATAGAAGACTGATTTTTTCTTTACGGCTTATCAACCTTGCAAGTTATCTAAAGCCAAAACTATTTTTTTCAGATTGTAATAATCTTATTGAGATAATAACAGCTTACTGATTCAACTCACAGCTATGGGCACCAATCTATATTGGTTCACCTCTTTCCCAAAGGTATGTGCGCATAAGTAAATATAACAAACCCGACAAGAATTGGAACTCAGCTGTCCGATTACCAATTCCGAGCTGTTATCGATTACGCGATACGCACATCCAGGCTTACAGCACCAAATATTCTCAAGAAGAAGAAGAAGAAGAAGAAGAAGAAGAAGAAGAAGAAGAAATAATGGAGAGGGACAAAAAAAAGAAGAAGAAGAAGAAATAATGAAGAGGGACAAAGAAGAAGAATTAGAAGAAGAAGAAAAAGAAGATGATGAAGAAGAAGACAGCAAAAAAAAGATAGCAGATATATTTCGAAGTCAAAAGTAAAGAAAATAGATTAAAATATTAAAGGAAGAAGAAAAAGAAAAGAGAAAAAGGAAAAAACAAATTTAGTAATGCCTAAAAGAAAGAAATGATAATTAGGGGATTAAAATTGTAATAATGAAGTGGATTAAATGGTTTATGGGTGCATCTCCCAAAATCTAGATGACCAGAGGCTAGCAGCTGATCTCTCCTATGACCAACCCTAAAAGCACAATGATGGACGAGGTTTAGAATGTTTTGCATAATTCAATTTCTTCAAAACCAAGCTACTAATGTTTCATCATCACCGAGCAGACACTAAAATTTGTCCCAGACCTTGATGTACCCTGAATGAACTTTGAACGTCTAGTGGGACTCGTTCACTACAGACCTGAAGTGGTACATACGAACGACAGCCAAAGATCTTTTACCGTCCCAGAGAGTACCTGACCCCTCTAGCCTTGATCTAACTTTACAATAATCAACTCAAACTAAAAATGGAATATTGCTGTCATATCTGAAATGAAGCTTGCAATTCCAATAGTATCGGTAATTAATTTACTATTATTTACCATATCATTTTATTGTTATTAACCAGAATTAACCAGAACCATTTTAATAATAAATTTCTGTACTGTTGATTAATTGCTTTGTCTTAATTGTTATTGTAACTGTATAGTTACCTTTTGCCACTCTGTCTATTCAAAATTAATTACCGTATTTGACGGAATCTAAAACGCACGGGTGAAGACAAACCCCAATTTTCAATAGGGCAAATCAAGTAAAAAATTAGTAATTAGTAAAATTAGTAAACCTACATATATGGCATATAAGACGCAGGGGAATTTTAAAAGATATTTTTAGTAAAAGAAAAAGTGCGCCTTATATGCCGTCAAATACGGTAATTGAAATGCAGTTTCAGTTAAAGGCAGATTATCTTGTGGACAGCGTTGCATATAGTGTAAATGTTACATTTTTGAATCTTATTAAAAACATAACAAGCATACGGGTGACTAAAAGTTCAGCGGTGATAGTATCTAATAAATACCTTAGTTTATCATTTACTATGAAAAGTTTAAAAAAAAACATCTAACGTTAGGTTCACGTTGTGGAAGGTAGAGTCCCTCAAAACTTTGTGAAAATATCGAACGCCTGAAGAAATTTTTCGAAAGTACATAGGCTTTGATTGATCGATGTTAATTTGGCGGTGACTGGAAGTGACTAAACAATAATTTTGCGTACGGAAAATTTAGTATCGTATTCTCTTCAGATTTTACTAAAATAACATTACTATATCATCTAATATTTGATTGAAAAAGAGAAAAAAGTGCAACAAATTTCAGAAATCTCAAGTCACTGGTCGCTTGTTAAAGGTAAGCTTCATCCCATCAGGCTCTTCCCCTGTCAGCTGAGAATCTACAAAACAAAAAGAAAAGATAGGTTGGAAAGAAGTCAGATCGCTAGAACAATTGCACAATCGACATGTGCAGAGCAACGGAAACAGAATCAGTTGGTCTGACGAAGTCAGATTCCTGCAACGTATTACTCAAGGCAAGGAGGAGAGTTTGGGAAAGAACAGCGTGCACCTTGCAATTCATCCTATCTCATTTTTTTTTTTTTTTTTGGTAAACAGAACGAATTGGTGATGCTGAGGCAATGGCAGAATTTTACTTATGCTATTCTTTTTATTCTATGTTCACGCCCTTCCCGAATCGCAACCTCGTAGCGTGATTGATAAAAGAATGTATTGCCTTGGGAAACGATAAAAACAAGCCGGAGAATTTCGGAAGCGGGTACTTTTATAGATGGATTTCTCCTCCGCCAGTACATTGTGCAATCTTACACAATGCAATAAAGGCAATAGCGTAAAAACAGTAAGGGTAACCCGGTGATGTCCCAACTTCAAGAACTTCAGTCTCGGCTTTCTCTTTTTTTTTCCGTATTTAATATAAATGTAAATCGCGTAAAGAAAGAAACACAAATAAACATGGCGTTGTTTTGCTAAAATGCCTGAAAGAAAAAAAAAGGTTTATTTAGCCCTTACACTAACAGATACACAATATTTCACATACGCACAAAATTATTCACTCATATAAAGAAATATACGCACATACACATTTGTGTGTGTTGTGTTTGTGTTAAAACGCATGCGCAGTTTCTATGCCGCTCATTTTCTCTATCATTTGTTCAACAAATAATATATGCCAAGTGACTAGTGTACGTGTGTAGGTAGTGTAGCGGATATGGACTCAGAAAATGCAAGCGACGGGACAAGTTTAATTTCCAGCTTGATCTCCAGTGATCACTCTCGCAAAAATACTTTTGAGAAAGGCATGGATTCATCTTTTCTCCCCTATGCTATGGATTAAATAACATTATGTCTGCTTTATTATCCATTGATCTCGAATCGATTTTTCATTTTGATGAAGAATGTTAGGCGGTGTTATTTATTTATTTTTTTTTTTTAGAAATAGAATAAGCTCAATTTGTACTTTGTTTTTAATCATTTCACCCCACGCAAGGCGGGAAAGCCACTAGTGCGCAGGGGTTTACAGAGAGTGAATTTGAAAAAAAAAAAAAAAGACTGGGTATAGGGAGACTGAGGAAAGGATAAAAGCTGAACGGATTCAAAAAGATAGAAGTTGACGATTAATGCTGCATGTAAATTTGTGAAGATTATAGTTATCAGGGAAGCTAGGAAACGGAAGGGAGTTCCACCAGCAGGAAGTGCGAGAAAAGAAATTGTTGGAGTAGAAGGGGCGGTTACATTTAACTAATTCTACGGTAAATGGATGGGACCTAAATGCCAATCTAGTAGTACGCTTAAATTCATGTAGTCGGTTCACCAGGGAAAAAAAATTCCTCAGAGTTATTGCCATGAAAGTATTTGTAGGAAAGACAGAGAAAAGCTGCGTCACATCGGTGAGAAAGTGATTGATGTCGAGATCTCTTTATTTCTGTCTATATGTAAAGAATTTTTTTCTTCTGATGTTTAGTTTGAATGTAGCAAGTTATGACTACCTGTACGAAATTAAGAATGATCACAAAGTAAGGCAAGATAATTCTATTAATGACTTGAGACTTTATGCTAGCTTAAGCATCGATGGTTGGTGAACGATTTTATATATCCAATTTTACTCAAAAGACTTGCGTCAATCCGTGGTATGGTTTCCAAGTAATTCCTAACCGTGTCGCACGATGGAACTGACTTTTCAGATTGATAACCCCCAAGAAAAAAAAGGTCCTGTGTCAGATTCTGTCATTGTGGATTAGGTAAGAATTTGTAAAAAAAAACTGAGAATTTGCTTTTTCTCAAGAGTGGAGGGGTCAATCGATCACTTAGTTCGTACATCTTAGCATGTAATTCCGGCCGGGAAGCACCAGAGGTCTGAAATAAATTTAATGTCCATTAGGAACCGTTTTCTAAGAAGAGTTGATCAGCGGTGACCCCAATATTCCCTACCTCCGGGCCACTGGCGTATTTCGTATAGAAAAACGTTAAAATTTCAATTTCTGCCGTGCGACGATAGCCTAGGGATAGGATCTCCAATTGATGCCAAATCGGCCGGGTTTCGATCCCGGCTTGATGCAATCGAACGTCTTGCCACACTGAAGAGCTGTGATACAGCGAAACAATCTGTCTGTGGGTGACAACATATATATATATATATATATATATATATATATGTGTGTGTGTGTGTGTGTGTGTGTGTGTGTGTGTGTGTACAATATGCTGTCATTGGAAAGGCTTCGGATGTAAATCCTGAGGAAAAATCCGGAGCTGGAGTCTCTAAGACAATCCGCGGAAATTCAAATTCCAAGTTGGTGTCTGGCA